TTTTTTTTTAAACTTAACTGTAGTGCTAGCTTTTGGAGGTGACAGGTTCTCTTTATTGACCCTGTCACCTTCAACACAGGAGTTATAGCACAGCACTGAGCTAGAACTCCTGTGACAGAAACGAGCAGTGGCCACCAGAGACAGAGGGAGGTGACAGAGCCTGTCACTGCTCTACGCCCACCCTCCCCTCTCAGCGCTCCGGCCCCACCCAAGGCGCTGCACGCTTCGGGCCACGCCCCCGCTCTCGGCGATCCACGCCCCCCGCTCTTGCCGGTCCTCACCCCCCGCTCGCAGCGCCGTTCGTCAAACCAGCCCTGCTACTTGTCTGTAGCAGGGCTAAAACAGTGAAAAAACTACTTGCCCGGCGCCCGGAACTACATGTCCCGGGCGTCGGGCGATACGAATTCCACACCCCTGCAGACTATGCCCTGCACATTCATTTATAATGTAGGTGTGTGCTGGGCATACAAAGAATGGGTTATCCATCCGGGAAATGACCATGAAAACTAACCATGTAAGGCCAACTATAAGTATTTATAATCAGTTTCAAACAGATGCATTTGCTTCTATTACCAATAATAAAATTGTCCTACCTTTCTTAAATTTGTGTATGGGAAGTTTTTTCAGCTGATCCTTGCCGAGTCTGTTCCTTCGCGCCCTGTGCCGATCCTGCACAAACTTGGTGATCTGTGTTTAGAGAGTGGGGGAAAGCAGTGAATATAGACACTAAAAACAGAATACAATGTAATGTGAACATTTCAGGTTTGCTCAGCCATCTCAGATCAGGGAAGCATTAGCCTCCCAGTGCTGGAGCAAGGTCCTCTGGCACCAAAGGGAAGATGCCAAAATGTAACCCCCCAAAGTATGATGCAAAGGCAAGAGAGGCTACTGTCTAAACCGCCGCCCCCCCCGCCCCCCCCGAGTATAACACCCAAGGCTGGGTTCTCTTCCGTTTCTGCCCAGCCTTGGCATCATTTAAAATTGACACCTGTGTTCCCCAGAAAGGTTTACTTCCCTGTACTCACTTCCCATACCAATGCCAACATATTGCAGTGCTTTACAGAACATACATGTATTAGCATCAGTCTCAGCACCAACAAAGCTGGCAATCTAATGCCAATATTGCAGGCATACAGACAAACAAAAGGGACAACCTGGGGAGAACATGCAAGCTCCATGTAGACACTGTCGCTAAGCAACTAAAACAGGACTCTCGTCAGGGGTGTGCGATTCCCTGACGCCTGGGACATGCAGTTGGTTTTTCTTCTACATTTAGCCCTGCTGTGGGCAAGCAGGGCTAAATGTAGAGCAGGGAGTCCGCCGCTCATTTTGTACAAGTGATCTGGGCGGCTATACAGCCAGCCTCCTGGTCCCTCCACCATAGTTTTAGGGGTTTCTGCTCTTCTGGAGGACCTGGGACCACAGCAAATTACTTCAGTTGGAGAGCAAGGAGTAGGCCAGAGAACGTCCATTCTCCGATCTGCTCTGTGGGATCAGTGGGGCAAGAGTGCTATACTCGCAGGGCTTCCTGTCTCAGAGGTCACAAGCCAGGCTGCACAGGAGATCAAGCACAATTCTCAGCTCAAACTTCTGCATTGGAGGGCAGCCCAAGAGAACCTGTCGCCTCCAAAGGCTACCACATAGGGGCTTGTTATCCCCTGTGTGATAGCAATAAAGTTACCAGACCACACCAACCAATGAGAAGTGCTTCCTAGCACAGTTAAATATGGTTTTGGTTAAAATTATTTTTTATATAAATCACAAATAGTTTTTAAAAAATGTCCACACCCTTGCTTGCATTTACTGTAAAATACACCTCTTGAAGTTCATTAGGGGGACACAGGATCAGTAGTTATTCTGATATGATTGGGACGTCCAAAAGCAGTCCAACTGAGGGGTGGGCAACACAGGAAGCGAAATGTCAACAAGCCCACATCGCAAAACAGAAAAAACCTAAGGGCAACCTACAGCTCAAAGAGCTTCCTCAAGGACCGTATGCCCAAAATTGGCCTAAACATCTGCTTGCTAAAATTTAGAGAACCTGTAAACATAAGACCAGGTGGCAGCCTTGCACATTTGGGAAATAATTGCCTAAAACCTAAAGAGGCACTCACAAACCTAGTAGAGTGTGCCTTGATAGGGAAACGTAGACTTTGTCCTTAAGACCATAAGCTTGAACAATGGTGTAATGTGAAATGTGAAGCTGGTTCTCCTTTAAGGGAACCATCAAGAATGATGAAGAGTGTCAGATTAGGCTGGGCACACACCTTACAACCATCGCAAGACTTTTGTCTTGCGATGGTTGTAAGGTAATTAAGAAAACGTACGATCTGCCTATCTTGCACAGGCAGATCGTACTTGCGATGATCGCAAGCCGCGCCCCCCTGAGGGGCGAGCTTCCGATGAACGCAATGCCGAACGGGCAGTGTGCGCTTGGGCAACAGACAAGGGGTATCCAGTAATCGTATCAAAACGTCAGTGCAGGTAGCAGACAAGCGAGAATCTGAAAAACGTAGCTGAGGCCAGTCCAGCATCAAAACAAAACAGAAGTACACTTGATCAGCCAGGAAACGCTATCACAAGCACTGAGGCACAGGCTGATAATGCTTAAATAGAGCACCTCCACAGAAACAGGCCAATATCAGCTGGGGGTGTGAGGCAGATGCATTACTCTACAGATGAGTCAAAACTGCAGCAAGCAAACAGGCTGCAAAACACTGTGGCCAGATACATTATCTCACAGCTGAAGGCTAGAGCTGCAGCTAGTGATACAGACATAAGGCTAGTTCACACCAGCCACAGTATGTTCCGGACCAATTCTGGCTGGAACTCACTGGATCGCATTGTGGCCACTATGTTGTGGGGCGGGAGGGGGAGTGGCGGTGCATTAAAGTGAATGGCACCGCAGCCACGCCCTCTGGCTGCAATACGATCTGCCGCACAGGAACGCAAGGCACATCAATGCCTGCGGTCCGGTCAGAAAAAATGCTGCAAACAAACACAATTTTTTCTGACCAGACTGGAGCACAGCCATTGATGTGCCACACATTCCCAAAACTGATAGTGTTGATTGCCAACAGCTAAACGAATGTAGTGTTGTTGTGCTGGAACATTTTGGGCAATCAAGTAAGCATCCTTGATGTCAACAGATGCTGGAAAATGTCCCTGGTGAAGGGAGGTTTTGACAGACTAAGCAGATTCAATTTGAAACATTGAGTTTGAATGAACAAATGTAAAGCTTTCCTGTCCAAGATAAACTGCATAGAGCACAGAACACAATGCATTGGAGGTTCCAAACTCCATGCTGCCTTTTATAAACAGAATGTATAATACAGCGCAGTTTGGGGCATTTCCAGAGCTGACCTGCAGTGTGTGGCCTTGGGAAACTGCCTTTGATTATATACAGGGAGGCAACAATGCATTAGAATGCTTCTGCTGGATCTGCATACGCAGATAACAGTTGCTTCACCCCATTTATTTATCTTACAGTGCAAAGTTCCCATATGTCCTCCTAAATCAGAAATTGCAGGGTTCCTTCAGAGAAACATGTGGTGGGTTTCCAGCCTAATGTAGCGCACAACAATGGAGGATCATCAACTGCAACAGAATCCTTGAGGTTTACGAGATGTTGGCCAGGAATTAAATGTAGTTACTCCAACTGCAGGGCAACTCTAATGAGTATGACACACAGAAGTCCATTCCCCTATGCACACTTAAAACCGTGAGCTGAAAATGCAAATGCAATAGGTTACTTTTATTATAAAGCTACAGAGCAGTAATACCTACCATAAAAATAACAATGAGCACTAGACAAATCCCGACTATGATTAGGAATGGTATTAAGTAGTATTCCAGTGGCATCGAAGCTTCAGGAATTAACAAAAGATGAGCGCTGCAGAAAAGGCAAACAAAATGAATTAAAGACCACACAGAAGAAAATCAGAAAAAAAGCAAAAATGCCGTTCTCACATAAATATATGTGTTTAATTGCCTAGGTAATCTGCTATAAAAACGTAGTGGAAACAACGATTTTCTGTATGCGTTTGATATATTTAGTTCATCTACTATTATCTCCAACATACTGGAAGCGTAGTTACCAGCAAGTACAAAATCATATCAAAAAGTGCATGGGTACAATTAAAAGTCAAAGCTTGCAGTTCAAATAAGGTTTAGATGTAAAGTAATAATATCCCAAAAGTAAAAGTAACTTATATCCACTTGGAATATGAACATAGAATATATCTATCTGCAATCCAAAAGTAGCAACTTTATTAGACAACCCCAACTAAAAACAAGACAAAACATAATTTAAAAAAACACCACTGGGCCCCGTGCAAATCATGAATATACTGCACAAGGTGCCAGATACAGTCATATGTATTTCTGTTTACTGCAAAAGATAATGGGACAACATTTCTCAAATGTCTCATGACAATTGCAGCCATTCTTAGCTCTGCATGGAATAAATCCTTCAATATCTGCCCATAATAATGTTGATGAATTGAGTGGCACTAGCAGACATCTGTGTTCGCCACTTTTTAACAAATGATACTGCAAAGTTTCTAATTCACTTCCTTGTAATCCTTCCTTCCACTAACTCAAAGTACAAATAACTAAACAATTATTACCTTTTGTATCACTTGCCCCTCCTACTAGATTGTAGGCTCTCCTAACACTATTGTACTTTAATTGTATTTTAACTGTACTGTCTCCCCCCATCTTCTAAAGTGCTGAAAAGACTGTTGCCACTATGTAAATATAATAGAAAGTGATCACTTAAAAAGGTATCTACAGTATAATTGAATTGTGCCATCTTTGCTATGTGTTCAAGAAATCAATAGTATCCACAGTAATATTACATAGGTGAGCACCATAAAACAGGTTGCACATCAATGTAAATAGAGCCATGTGGTGAAAATCATCACGTGCGGCTTTATGCCAAACAGCCTTTACACACATATAGCCAGAAATAGAATCTCCTCTCTCGTTATCACATAAAAAAGCAGATCCCTACAAGTCTCAGATGCACAGGCACATTATGTGCTGCACATAACACCAACCAGTGGGAAACACACTGCTTTAAATGTTCATATAACTGGTTGGCGTGAGCTCGCCATTTAAAATACAATACAATCATATCAAATAGTGTAAATCTAATGTTTTATCTTCTCCAACAAGATGGACTATTATGTAAAAAAAACCCACACAGTCCTGCTGAACAAATAACTTGTTATATGTAGTATTTTTCTGATATAATTCATGATTTGCCTGGGGCCCCGTGGTGTTTCCCAATCATATTAATGTCTAGATTTTAATTGGCGTTGTCTAATAAAGCTATTTCTACAATTTGATACCATTGGATCCTAGATCTACTAGCATTTTCAGAAGGTCAGTAATATCAGCCCCCATGTAGGAGTACAGGCAATAATCCTCTACTTCAACAAACCTCCGGTCTTGATGTCCCGGTATACAGACTTTAATGTAGCACCTCCTGCGGTTATGTGCTAGAGTTCCAGCAGCTTTATTCAGAGTGAAAAAAAATTCATCACTCATTATTCTGCAAACTGGGTCGGCTGTAACACATACTTAAACGGTATATCAAATAAATGCTTTTGTTGATCTCCTGGATCTGGCCCTCTCAGACTAATATTTCGCACAGGACTGGAAAAGGTCCTGGGTCTGGTGAGCCTGGGGAAGCTTACCCTTTAGCCCATGTGGTTAATGAAGCCCTGACACAGGGTCCCCTCAGCTCGTGTATTTGGAAATATCTACACCCTCTGAACAGTTACAGCACAAGAGACCCGTTTTAGAAGCATTTTGGGTTGATATTGGGTTAGGAGGTTTTAAATGCAATCAGGTTAGTGTGAAATTCATTTGCAGAGAGGCTTAAGCTGCGTATCTTTGTTGCCCCTTGGATCCTTTAATCAGCTATTTGAAAGCAGTGCCAAGAAGGAGCATTGTCATGTAGCTGATGGCTACTTTCAGCTATGTTCAAACACCCTTTAAAAACGCTGATTACTGGGGATGTCCGCTATCCCCCTTTTCAGCATATACTAAGCCCACAGTACTGTATTTGTGCATAAGGCAGTCCTATCATACAATACAGTATATCACATCTACCATAATGTATACAATTGCTATTATGTGTGCAAGAGGTCTGTCGTTTCTTAAGGTAAGGGCAAAATTAAAAAGAACTATGTTTTTACAATGCCCGCTCAATGAGCAACTGCTGAGACTTTGTGTGCTTTTAATCTGCAAATGCGGAAACCGTTTGAGCCTGCAGAGCTGTTTTTTCTCAATATAGACAAGAAGAAATTGCTGGCCGACAACACAATGGTTACAGCGGTGCTGTGTGTGTCAGAGAAAAATCATGAAGGAATAAAGAAAGTGAAATATACTAACCCTTTATCCCAGGTGAATCCTTCCTGCAGTATTCGTGCGGTAGACTCCCCGATAAACACTGATGGAATGTCAATTTTCTTCAGAATCTCAACTGAAACACAAGAACATTCGGCGATCAATTACACAATGCGTTTCATGTACTGGCCCATGTGGCCTAGCCACAAATATTATGGGGAGCCAAAACGTGCAAAAGATCAGTTTCACACATTGCAATTGCTCATTAACAATGTTTAGATCGTTAAAGGCATTCATTCATTAAGTGCCAAACAGACAAAGACATATTCACATCCAGTTTCCAAAATAAACTACAATTGAATCCATCTATCACAGCCAGAGATGTACAATAAACACATTTAGGTAGGGGGCAAATTAACTTTAAGTAGAAGTAAAGGCAAAACTATGTTTTCTTTAATTGTTAGATATAGAGTGGGGAAGGACAAGGTACTTCTGTCACATTTTTATTGCTGGCTACCTTTGAATTTTTGAGATTCATCCTTCTATATCAGGGGTAGCCAAACTCCGGCCCTCCAGCTGTGAAGGAACTACAAATCCCATGAGGCATTACAAGATTCTCAAAGCCACAGACATGACTCCCAAAGAGAGATGCATCATGGGATCTGTAGTTTCACCACAGCTGGGAGGGCCAGAGTTTGGCTACCCCTGCTCTATATGTACTGGTGACCATTGTCGTCAAAGCTGAAAGTGAGGGGGAAATACAAAATTCGAGTTCTTACCAGAACTCACCAGAAGAGGCAAGAGAAAATCTTTCAATGGGGAAACCTGTTACAGAAACAACCGTCTATGAGGAAAACTCTCCTCATTTTGGGAGATTTGATCTAAATTTTGTTGCGTCTCCAGGACAAGAAGTGAATAGAAAATCCACATTGGTAAACAGAACAGCAAATATAACTGGACAGGTTTTAACCCTTCCCTATCCAAATGAAAAGAAAGAAAAGATTTTTTAACTGATCTTAAAATCGTTTTCTTGAAGTCCATTGAAGGACATAGGAATATAGTCATTCTTGGACATTTGGGTTATACAGCCGTCTTCAGGAGGTTTGAACAAACATTGATTGTTCCCAAGATAAAACAGCTATGCTGAAGACTGGAGTACTTATGTTTCATTAACAGATCTCCTGCATTAAAGCAGGTGCCCAGAACAAAGATCAGGAGATTTGGGCATGTCACTGTTGCGTGCATGACCAAAAAGGTGTCTCCCCTAAACGGCAAGTCAATACAGCATTGTTTATATGCATCTTCCACATCGCAGTCATGTAGCGAAAGTGCCTTATGCGCATATGGACAGACATTTTTGCCATACAAGACACCAACTTGCCTCTAAGAGGCCATTGTAACTAAAGTGGAAGGCTTCAGATAATTGCTCAATATGCAAAGCTCAAAGGTCTTGGTCTGTGTTAGAGACATCCCTCTAACAAAATGTATCCACTGAGACACAAATTAAAGTCACCGCAAGCAGAGGAGAGAGAGTAGTTCCAGGGAGTCCAACTGGCTATCAGTGAAGTCCCAAAAAGTAAGGCTCAGTTGGTGAGGGTGCTCTCCGCACACCTCACAGCAGTCCCGGCCAGTAAGAACGATGGTGCTTGTAGTAACTGTGACACATCTTTCTGCCTTGAAGAAGGGACCGTGCGCGGCCCCGAAACGTCGGCTTTGTTGATTATTGTGACATAATCGTCCATTAAAAAGGACTCATTTATTTAAATTATTTTGAGTGCTGGTGACCTGTCTTTCTACTTCCAAAAAGTAAGGCAACATCAACCAGAAAAATAAGATGTTTATTAAGGTGAAGAACTGGGGAGTCTACAAAAGGTAGGGACCATGTCTAAGAATTTCATATTAAAAGGGAAAATGCTTCTTCACACCATCAGGAGGATGCCATGATTGCAATGGAAGTTTCCAGTCCTCAAAATAAAACTTTTCTGCACAGCAGGCCGATCCCCTAGACATAGGGTAGAGTCTAACCGCATCAATAAGATCGGAAACAGGGTCATCAGGAACCTGGTCAAATGCAGTCTCTACAGAAGGTTGTGAAGGTTTTAAATCTAGAGATAGGGGCCTCAGACACTGTGAGAGATAAGGGTCCAATAGGGTCAGAACTAGTCTCTGTTGTAGATGGCATAGAGGTGTATAATCATGAACACAAATGTATCTTATTTGTGCATCACTCAGCTGTAGATCCTCAAATCTCTGAATTTGTTCTGACACTGTCCTTCCTTCTGGAGGGTGGCTATGTTTGTTCCCCATGGTCATTGTGCGAGTTATAAAGTAGCCACCGCTCCGAGCTCGCTATTGTGATGGACTACAATCTCACGATTAGTTTAACAATTTGTATTGAGATTGTAGTCCATCACAGGAGTGAGCTTGCAGCGGTGGCTACTTTACAACACACACAGGGACCATGGGGAACAAAAGTAGCCACTCACCAGAAGGAAGGACAGTGTCAGCACCAATTCAGAGATGATTTGAGGATCTACAGCCGAGTAATACACAAATAAGCTACATTTTTCTTAATAGTTAAGGTACTTGAATGTATTTTTACAATGTAACTCCTGAGTTTAGTGTCTAAGGCAGAGACCAGTGTAAGAGTTAGATATTGAGACATGTTAACCACAACAGAGAGGTAAATCCCTAAGTAGCCACTCCCATAGCCCATAATTTTATTGTATTTTGTGATCAAAATGTATTGTTTGATTTCCGCTCATATTTCATAAAAGCGATATATTCTACAAAAGCATTGTTAGCTGTAATACATATTTGAATAACATTTTAGGGATAAAAGTAGAGCTTAGGACAATCTACACAGTACCAAAAACCTGAAAATGTCCAGATTGAAGAATTTTCACATTTACACATGATAGAGGAGTGCAGAATGCATGAGGCATACGTACCATCATTGGACCCCATACTGATGAGTTCATCAGAGTCCACATTGAAAACAATAGCAGCCTTGTATCCAGCTCTCTGAGCGTTTAACACCTACACAGAGACAGAGCATGTTATATTCCAAATCTCACACTTGTAAAAGTGAGAATAATTCTGGCTGGCTTTGTCACACTATTCTCAGCTTTTATACAGAAACTAGATGCACAAAATGCTCTTTACCAAGTACATGCAAACACAACCAACGTAATTTATGTGGTCACATACATGTCTCTGCATAGACACTTTACTTTATTATCATTACTTCATACTAACACAGTCTTAGTGGCATCATACACACCAATCTTTACAAGCAAATTACCCTATTTGGGGTAAGGAGCAGCTCCTGTTGGGGAGATTCCGCTTCATTTCCTATACCATTGACAGTGGTCGCTGGCATCATTGAAACCTCCATTGGAAGCCAGGTGAATGTCCTGAAAAGTTCTCTTATCTGCTCTCTAATCTGTGCATGGCAGGAGTATAATTTAAATAGTGGGGGGTTTCCCCCTTACTTCCTGCCCAGAGGAAAGTGGTTAGCTAGAAAAGAGGTGATGAGAAGTCTCCTCAAACCAGCACACAGAGAGGAACAAACACTGAGGCCTTGTTCACACTAAGCGCGTTCCAGGAGCAGAGCAGTTACAGACCGGAGCAAAACTGCGTCCAATGTATTCCAATGGTATTTTTAGCTCCAGTTCACATCACAGCGTTCTGCTCCAGAGCAGGTAAAAAAAACTGCAGCAGGCCCTATTTTACCTGCTCTGGAATGCATGCAAATGCATCAAAAACGCATGCAAACACCCTGGAACGCACTGAAAGCCCATTTTCAACTCAATAATTACCAGGTTTTTAAAATGATTTAACCTGTTAGATAAAAAACGTAGACAGTTGACAACATTTTCCTATCCGTTCCTGCTCTCTTGTAGAACGCATGTAGTTTAGAAGTAGTCTTGCATGTCTGACATCACCTTACAGTCGTGCAATAATTGATCATTATAAAATAAATCGTACAGTAAGTGCTCACTAAAGTTTGAAGCAATATGTTGTGTTTGTTTCCTCACATGTTGTATTAATGTTTTGTGTAACGTGACCGGGGTGCCCAAACCTTTGCATATGCCTGCACACTGTAATAGAAGACACATTTGCAACTCATTTAGTTTTCAGTGGAAGGAGATCTGCCTTGTATGGAGTCCTAGCACCGGGACACACACATTGAGGAAGTTGCTATGTACTCTGGATGAGCTCACTTAGTAACCCTAACTCCTGCTAGAGAGATACTTCTTACAGCTTCTGCTCTTTGTTTTACATTTATTTCCTTTCTGGCACGTCTGTATGATATGGACTGCAAATGTAGATTTAAGTAAGCCTGGGATGTTGAATAGTCAGCTTGGCTAAGAGGAACATAACGAGTGCATGTTAACAGATTTCATCTGACTTTGGATATTGAAGGGAAAAAACAAACAAAAAAAACCAAAACGCTGCCCCCTCATCCCATGAACTTCTCATTCACATAAAATGCCTTGTCAGCCCTGTTATAAGTGTGACAATAAAGGGTCTATTTATAAATGTTTTCACACAACATTTTCCAAGGATTCACACATTTCACCTGGGAAAATGTGTGAATCTATTTATAAATAGACCCTAACAATATACACTATATTGCCAAAAGTATTGGGAGGCCTGCCTTTACACGCACATAAACTTTAAAGTTTATGTGCGTGCATATCAGTCTTAGTCCTTAAGGTTCAATATTGAGTTGGCCCACTCTTTACAGCAATAACAGCTTCAACTCTTCTGGGAAGGCGTCCACAAGGTTTAGGAGTGTGTCTATGGGAATGTTTGACCATTCTTCCAGACGTGCATTTGTGAGGTCAAGTACTGATGTTGGATGAGAAGGCCTGGCTCGCAGTATCCGCTCTAATTCATCCCAAAGGTGTTCTATCGGGTTGAGGTCAGGACTCTGTGCAGGCCAGTCAAGTTCCTCCACCCCAAACTCACTCATCCATGTCTTTATGGACCTTGCTTTGTGCACTGGTGTGCAGTCATGTTGGAACAGGAAGGGACCATCCCCAAACTGTTCCCACAAAGTTGGGAGCATGAAATTGTTCAAAAGCTCTTGGTATGCTGATGCCTTAAGACAGGGGTAGCCAAACTCCGGCCCTCTAGCAGTGGTGAAACAACAAACCCCATGATGCATTTCTCTCTGGGAGTCATGTCTGTGACTGTGAGAATCTTGCAATGCCTCATGAGATTTGTAGTTCCACCACAGCTGGAGGGCCGGAGTTTGGCTACCCCTGCCTTAAGAGTTCCCTTCACTGGAACCAAGGAGCCAAGTCCAACCCCTGAACAACAGCCCCACACCATAACCCCCCCTCCACCAAACTTTACACTTGGCACAATGCAGTCAGGCAAGTACCGTTCTCCTGGCAACCGCCAAACCCAGACATGTCCATCGGATTGCCAGACAGAGAAGTGTGATTCGTCATTCCAGAGTCCAGTGGCAGCGTGCTTTACACCACTGCACGCTTTGCATTGCACTTGGTGATGTAAGGCTTGGATGCAGCTGCTCGGCTATGGAAACCCATTCCATGAAGCTTTTATACACCTATGGCCATGGAGGTGATTGGAACACCTGAATCCAATGATTTGGAGGGGGTGTCCCAATACTTTTGGCAATATAGTGTATGTATATAAAGTGTCTTACTTTCATAAATGCTCACTCTCCAGTGAAATATATAATCTATATAATTCATAGAGTGTGTCGTGGACACTCAATAGAACTCGGACTCCTGTCCGTGAGTCATGTAACGGTCAGTAAGGTGTATATGAAGTTGTAGCAAAAATGCCTCAATTGGGATTATGTCTGAGACAGAATACTTGCACGTGTGATACAATTTGCTCCAACTATAAAAGGTCTTATTTACCTCCACTTTCCTTATCAAATGATATGGTATGAATGCCACAGCCATAGCGGCAGAATGTAACAGTGTTGCACTTAAGATTTACCTAAATTTGTTGCATGAATCCAAAATAGCAAGAAGTTGTTGCACAAAAGGTCAGTTAAAACTGATTTTGTTTATTACTTGTATCATTTTTTTATATTACAAATAAGCATGTAATACAGGATACTTCAATGACACTGTATTTGCAAAGCATGTTGATTTCTTCTGTGTTGGCCCATCACTGCTAGGTCAGACGTCGGGAGGTTTCTCACTTCTCTAACTTCTTCAGTTGTGCTCGTATAATCTGATCTCCTGCTACTCAGGTCTATTCACAATGTAGAACATTCAGGTTATTCACATGATTGCAGTAAATCAGTTTGATGCAAAGCTGTAAACTGAAATTGAGTGTCTCCACCTGCCGCCTGTTAGTGGTAAAAGCACTATATCCTTGCAGTGGGGATCCTCTCGTACTGCAAGTGGTAAATGCTTGTCATTACCTGTACCAGTTATTTACCTTATCCCTCGCAGTCAGCACTCCACTCTTCTCTCTGAAGATACTGCTTGTAGGCAGACCCTCTGCATCCTCACTTACAGTGCAAGACTGATGGTCCTGCATTGTACATGAAGATCGGGCCACTAGTCGGAGAGAATAGGCTTAGAGGGACTGGTCACATAAAAGGAGGAGCGTGCAGGAGCTAGGAATAAGGTTAGTACATGTGCTTTTTACTGGTATCCTAGGTAAAAAAGAGCATTTTAACCTTTGAAAAGTGTGGAAAACAACACTGCAATATTTTTTTCTCCATATCACCAGAGTTTAGTTTTACTGTAAACCTGTACTGGATAAAACAATTGTAAGCAGATAGTAGAACTCAAAAGGAACCAGACTATACCTTTTTTGTTTGTTTGTTAAAATAAGAACCAGCTGAAAGATCTAGCTTCTGCAGTATGGGTAGAGTAGGCAAGCCCCCACCTTCCCTACGTAACAGCTCATGGTGCCTGAGTGACGTATCTGCATAGGCTCTGGTACATCACCCATGTGACAGTGCTCAGGTCTTGCGATGGCCAAGGTATTTGCAAAGGAGCTTTTGGTGGCTGTGACAAGGATTATCATAATGTGAGAAGTAAGGTCTGGCACCATATGGTGTCTTGTATCTGCCAAACAGCTTAATATTTTTTACCCACAGCCAAGGCTAAGCAAATGAATTATGTTTAATTAAAATGTGCACATATTTCATGGTAATATGTCTGTAATAATCACAATTGTGTGAATTACATGATTTTGGACATTTACATGTAGAAGTGTTAAAGAACTTGACCACACACTTGAGGAATAAAATGTTACAGATCTGACTATTCTACTAACAGCAGTAATCACTATTCTTTAGGGTGAGCATCATATATGTGTGTTGCGGTAACGCATCATACGTGCATTGGTGTGTTCATTTTAAAATGACATCATTGCACCTTCTCAACATGCCTGCATTTCAGAGCACCACAACACAAAGTAATAGAAAAATAGTACAGATGTGTTAACACACATACAATAATGCATGGGAAGGTGTGAAGGGGACCTAAGGGAACTGAGAAGTTACAGGGGTCTAAGTCCCCTGTCAGTTTGACTGATTGCCCAAGAAGTTCAAATGTTCATCTGCAAAGTGAAGCATAACAAATATAACTGTTGGTAAACTAATTTGCATATCTCCAGGCAGCCTTCATGACCCAAAACTAACATTTCAGTTTTGTGTAGCTGCTGATTAGCTAAATCACAAGCTGGCTTCTTTTATTTTCCAGGCACTCTTTGTTGGGTTGCAAACCGAAGTGCTGGGGAGTTTGTATCATTGTGCAGTTGCTCTGCTTCTGGTAGGCATGAACGGTTTGCCGCTGTTTTGGTTATACTCCTCTGATGGACCTTTTCAGTATTTTTAGATATACAGATGTCAACCTAAACTATGAAATAAAAACCCACTTTGTCTGTACAGCCTTTAGTTTTAGGTGGAGCCTTACCGCAGCCTGTAAAGTAAGGGTCTACTGCCTCTTTTAGTCTGAGTAAGGGGGAAGGCGTGGAGTGGTAAAGCATAGGAATGCTAATGCTTACCTTAAACCTTGCTCCAGCTTATG